CTTGAAAGCTCATGCAGAGAATTGTTCCAAAATGAATTCAGCTGAGGGGCTTTGCTTGCTTCCCCAAGAAGAGTCAGTGGTTAGTGGCAACCCCGCTTATACACACTGCTCTTAGCCATATTTTCTTTCTTGCTTTCTTTCCGCGGTTGAGTAAACGCTGTGCTACATGCATGCAGATAGGCTTAGCAGTGACAGTGCGCAACACAATGCGTTAAAGAGTTTGAGTATGTGGTCCAGGCTGGAGCAGAGATCCTTAATCGGGCAAGCTGCTGAGAGGTCATATTCTCACATAAGGGGGTGCAGAGTGCTTAGAGTATTTTGGGCAGGATTGATACAAAAACAGTGCCCAGCAGCACGCGCATGCACACATGGCAGTGTAGCCGGCTCATTGCTGGCCAGTAGGCAGGCCAGCCGGCACACGGAGGTACGTTTTGTACATGTCACTAGCCCAGCGGCCGGCCTTCTGGAGCTGCCAAGCTGAGGCATTCCTTCCGGCCATTGCAGTAGCCCCGCCAATCCTGAGGGAGTGACTGCTAACACCCGGATCTAGGGCTCTCGTCATCCAGTAGTTCACATCTTTGACTGTGAAATATTGCCCACTTCGGAATATGAACAGCGGTGACGTCGTTGGCGTTGCGTGGCGGATAGCGTGGTACTTGTGCATTGCTTGGACAGGGCAGAGCTGGCTGCCGGACCATGGCTGCAAGATGACTTGCCCCCAGTGCCACGTTGGGAGGTCTTCGTTATCCCGAGTCGTATGCTGATCTGAGTCCCAGTGAGTGAGACTTGACCCAGGGTCAGAGTGCGGCCATTCGAAGCGGAGCGGGGAGAGGCGGCAGTATCCTCGCTCACTATGAGCAATCCCGCAAAGGCTGTCATGAAGGTGGCCCAGAGCATGCACCTGTCCGATTCGCAGTAGTGGGAGCGCTGGATCACGGTCAAGAGCTGCTGCAGGTCTGATTGGGTGATAGCCTGGCGTTGACATTGTGTCGGTGCTGCTTGCTGGCGGTGCTGCCATTGCTGACGCTCCGCTCCCTTCAGGGCTGCTGTAACTCTATCGTGCTGAGTTGGGTGTGACGGCCCACCATGGCAGAGGAGGTAATACCTCACGGCGGATACATATACTCGGATGGTTGCGCTAGATCTGTGACCGGGTACGCAGTGGGTGATGAATGCAAGTAAGTCATTTACCGACGGCCTACTCGGCTGGCATCCCAGTTGTGTACACAGCTTCAGATACGCCCCAGACCCTGGCGGGTATGTGCGGGCAGAACTTGGGGCTACTGAGTCCCTAATTAAGTCGCCGGCCTTTATCAGTAGCGTCTGACGGAGATGATGTGCTCTATTGAAGTAGTCTGTTTGTTGGCGTTGGGCAGCATGATGCGCCCATTGTTCTCCCCATAAAGAGAGCGCAATGGCAATTGGGTAGAGTTCCCGCCAGATAATGCTGCGAAATAGGCCATCCGACTGGTCTGCTGACCATGTGCCATAGAACCGCGCTGTGTTGTAAAGCCCTCCGAAACCGACGCCAGGCGTGTCAGTGAAGAGCTGAAGGCTGGGGGACTTGGACCAACTGATATTGTCTCTGAATAGGGCAATGCCATTCCATGGGAGCGCCGATTCGAGCAACTAGTATGATAGCTCTGCTCGGGACCGCTAGAGCTGAGCTGGCAAATGACTCCGCATGGAGCCGGCAAATGACTCCGCATGGAGCCGCCAATGACTCTGAGTAGAGCCACCTAATGCTAAATATAAAGGTATGCATGACAGTTGAGAGCATATATTCTCATGGATTGTAAGAATACATTCTCGCGCCACATATATACTGGTACACACAGATTATAGACAGCAATAGCGACAACACGCAAATTGAAGGGTAGTTGGCCGCAGCCAGATGTGAACCGAAGCACGAGTGAGGCATGAAAGCAAGCACTGAGAACAGAGTGTGTCTCAAATGGGAAAGATGTGCATGCGGATAACAGAAATAGGCCATGATGCAGAACCACTTGGGACCGTCAGATTAATTTTCCTGGACCGAGCCAGCCGGGAAAAAACCCTCGCGCCGACGGACGCAGTAGTGAGGGAAAAAACCGGGTGTATAACCCCAATGGCGATTTGGCATCATGTAGGCATGGCAAGCACATATTGGCAAGAGATAAAGAACACGCCCGATGCCGTATATGCAACCGAAACATGTTGAGCGAGAAATACAACGTCATGTGTGCGCCAGAAACGTGAGTTGAGGTAACGGGTGGGAGGTTGGGAAGGAAAGTGTGTGGGAACAAATGTTCCGCAAGTTGCATGCTCCAGAGTCAAAACAGCAATGACAGTGCAAGAGACACGACTAGCGCATGCGCACGGGTCGGACCAGCTTCCGGGGCTGAAAGATGCATGATCAAGCGATGCCCACCCGATTTATTTGGCATGACACCAAGACATGCCCTCTTGCCCCAGGTGAGCATCCACAACATCAGGGTAGTCAAAAGCTGATCTAAGATTCTTGCTGAGGGTAGAATGCTTAACACCCTTAGGACGTGATGCTGGTCTACCAACAGTTTGTTCAGGTAGTGTGTGCGTTGCATGCCTACAATGATGGACAACACTGCCCACGCTTCGGCCCAGGCCACTGTCTATACTCGACTCTCGCTGTTTCTGCTATGCTGGGGCCAGCACTACTGACCCATCCGAGTCGTTCTCGAGCCTGAAACGTTTGGCTGAGGGTTCAGCGGGCACTGCTGAGGGGCGCAGGAGCCTGAGGAGGAGTGCTAAATCTACGAACTCCCCTCGCAGCACTTTCTCCACCACTCTCGGCCACATGTGCAACACACAGGGGACGGTTGTGGGCATGTGGTGGAGATGCATGTACAGGCACGTCAGAGTCAAGCCTACCTCAGCTCAGTAGTACCTGCCGAGTTCAGGTCTTGTGCGCAGGCGATATCAGCATCCGGCTCGCCAGAGTCGTCCCCGGAAATGGCTTCTCGGATGGAGGAGCGGATTAGCTCGCGGATCTCCTGGTGCTGCTGTTTGAAAACGACTCATGATAGGCTAGCTAGAAAATTCGCACAACACTGCTGATATTGCAAGCCAAGGTGCTCAAACAAATTTGTTTGCATAGAAAGGTCTCGCTGCTGTTCTCTGCCAGCAAGGCTGCGAGTCCCACGCTGGCGCATGTGCCATTTTCCCACGCTTGGAGACGATGTACGATGACAGCCGGCGTTGCGGACTGCCTGCGAGGCGCTGGCCGCGAGTGCTTCTGTGGCATGATAACTTTGGTTTGCCCGTTGCAAACCTACATTAGAGAGGTTCTGCTACACGGAACTACGTACCAAACTCCGTGTCAACTGCAGTGAAGTTTGACACGGATTTTTCGTACGTTGCACCGGTTCTGCTGTACGTAGCATGCTCGAAGCATGCACGAACACCCCGCCACATGTACTCTGTACGCTCACTTTTCACACGGAGTCCAGTCCGTGTGAAGCGCGCTTCACACGGAAAACGGTATGAAAAAATCCGTATCAAACTAAATCCCGTACCGCGGGGAAGTTTCCATACGTACTTTGGCACGTTTTACCGTGTGGCAGAACCTCACTATTTAAGGGGGTTCGGGACAGTTAGGCCCAAAAATTTAATTTCAACATCAGCCCAATATGACATCAGGTTTGAATAGCTACAGCCTTATATTTTCACTTAGTAACATCAGTTTTTCAATTGCCCGAATAGGTCTTGCCAAAAACACAATTTTTCTTGATGACACAACATAACACAAAATCCCAAAATTGATGAGAAATCGTCCATAACATCAGTTAGGACAGATAATATGACCTAAAATTTTACAGACTGTTCGAAATATTGACTAAGATGATATCAACACCGAAAAATGTACACTTTGGTTGACGATGGGATCCAGGTCGTCATTTCCTGGAGAAGAACAAAAAGACGCAAAAAAATGAAACTTTGAATATTTTTTGCAGCTTATTTTTGAGTTTGCCCCATATGTGGATACTTCAAATACGTTCTATAAGTGGGTTGGAACAGGTTAACCGCGGCGAAATTAGGGGTCACCGTGCATATTCTGGAGAAAAATCCAAAAAACTGTCAAAATTTGCCTAAAATTGGTAAATTCACGTATCTACATTGCTTGTACTTCTCTGCTGCTGCTTTGGTCATAACTTATTGGATTTTTGGCTGTTAGGTGTTGCATAAACTCACTAGAGCTCTCGGCGTTCAGAACAATACAAGGATGGAATAGCTGAACTAGTAAATTTGCCGGAAAACCCTGGGTGCACGCATTATCGATAGGTACTTTTCTCCATGATTACTCTCCTGTTGGTACTTGTTACTGAACAAATCAATGACTTCTCCAATCAGACTGTATTCAATATTCCATCTTCGGACAACAAGCACTAGCTCAAAAACACCAGCTTAGAGTTCAACACAACCGTTTCCAAACTCCTCTGAAAAACATCGTAAACACATCTGACCCAAAACAAAAAATGCAAATCACGAATATAGAACCAAAAGAACACCGTACGCACAGGTACGGGAGCACGCAGCTAGAACGATGATACATGTGAGACAATGGTGTAGTGATCAGCCAACAACGACCGCAAGTGCATTCATGAAACAGACAACTAGCCTAGCGGCAGACGCGCACTCATGCTTATGATACAAAGAACCAGCCACTGAGACAGTGCACAAAATAGCAACAAAGAGAGCAAAACGCTGTAGCAAAATGCAACAAATAAGTAAACTACAAATGCACTACTGCACTAATACAAGGCAGAAACATGATGCACAAATTCGAACACACTAAATCAAACATTTCCTCCCTCTCGAACGAAGTCAACTGAGAGAGAATTCACACAGATATACGCTAGAGACTAGTAGCTAATTATCATATGAAAGACAACAAACTAATCTGCATTCCTAAACACTAGTGCCATGAGGAAACTCACATCAGAGTTCGTCATGCTCATTATCACGCTCTTTTCAGTGTGATGTCATACTACGGCAGACACTTCATCGACACCTTTAGAGCTGGTGGCGGGTACACTGGCCGGTGTAACTGCTTGCTCATCATCTGTAACTTCCAGTGGTATGAGGTTGTGCACCGCGCGTCGGTAAATCTTCCCCTGGATCACGACATCCACGACTCGCACTACGCCGTCCGGACCCGGGAAGACTTCACTCACGCGGCCAAGAGGCCACTTTCCTCTAGGCGTATCTTTCTTCACAACGAGCAGCACGTCGCCAACTTCCACCGTGCGCTTGTCGCCACGCCACTTCGCGCGTACATTCAGCCGCGGCACGAGCTCCTTCAACCATCTTCGCCACACTTCCAATACCAGCCGTTGAACGTAAAGCCAGCGACGCCGCGGGTTGACCACCTCCTGACGATCGGCATTCTCTTCCATAGCTGTCCTCACATCCATGTGGCCGATAAGGAAGCTCAAAGGAGTCAATGGCCGTAAGTCGGTGGGATCTGATGACACCGTGGACAAGGGTCGGGAGTTGAGGAATGCTTCGGCGTGAACTAGCGCTGTCATAAGTTCCTCATCGGTAATGTCGGCACGTTGCAACACGTTCTGCAGGGCTCTCTTCACCGACTTGACAATCGCTTCGAACACACCACCGAAATGCGGAGATGCTGGCGGGTTGAAGCGCCAAGTCGCTCCGCGATCAGCCAGATTCGATTCAATCTTGCTGTTGTCCAGGGCAACAACCGCCTCCCTCATTAGCCTCTCCGCAGCCACGAAATTCGTCCCGTTGTCCGAAACCACCTCCATTGGTACACCTCGGCGCTTCACAAATCGGTCGAATGCCATCAGGAAGCCATCGGTGTCCAATGACGTTGCCATCTCGAGATGACAGGCTCTAACTTGCAGGCAGGTAAACACACAAACCCAGCGTTTCACCTGCGGTCGTCCACGGCCTTGCTTTGTGTAGAACGGGCCGCAGTAATCCACTCCAACCTTTGCAAATGGTTGAAGAGGTCCGCTTGTGCGGAAGTCTGGTAGCTGGCCCATGATTGGATGCGCAGCCTTGGCCCATGTGCGCTTACACCGCACACAATCATTCCGATGACGCTTCACGGCTGACTGGCCCTTGACAATCCAATACTTGACAGACAAGTTAGACAGAATGTGATTGACGCCCACAACATGGCCGCATCGGTCATCTTCGTCACTGACGATCAGCTGCGTGACGCGGTGCTTTGACGGTAGAATGACTGGACTCTGAACGCTCGTTGGAAGGTGATGGGCTGTACTCAGACGTCCACCAACCTTCATCATATCGCTCTGTGCATCGAGGTACGGCTTCAGCTTCACGAGGGCACCAGTGCTGATCTCTCTGCCATGACGCAAGGCATCGTAGGACTCGGAGAAGGCTTCCCTCTGCGCATAGCGAATCCAACAATGCTCCGCTTCCTGAAGCTCTGACACGGTGAGCGGCTGAACGGACACCTTCGGTGAATCCTGGGTTCGCCGACAATGGAGGGAGACCAACGTACCGTCGCATGCTGCTGATTGTGCCGATGTTGAGGACTCCTGCGCACAGTGCTTGCCTCTACTAGCACAACGCACAAACCGTCTACACCAGGCTGAGACTCTCTTCAGACGCGTCCAGTTGGAGTAGTTGTCAGGATGGAGCCTCGGCGATGCTGTGGTGTTAGCAGTGAGACAAGTCGCGCGCTTCAGCTGTCCTGGTAGCTCGCCAGGAACAATGATCTGTCTCTTCGGCCAGTCTACTTCAGACGTCCTCAAGAATGCCGGTCCTGTCCACCACCCCTGTTCTTCAGACAGCTGCTTGGCGGACGCTCCACGAGACGGAAGGTCGGCAGGGTTCAGTTTGCCCGGTACATGCTGCCATTGGCTTGGTGACGACTCCTCCTGGATCTGCGCAACTCGGTTCGCGACCTCTATCTTGAACTTCCTGCTTGATGATCTGATCCAATAAAGGACGTTCATAGAGTCTGTCCAATAATGCCGCCGTTCCACAGGAACGTCAAGTGCCGTAGCTACCTCACCAGCTAGTCGAGCTCCAAGCACCGCACCCTGAAGTTCTAACATGGGAATCGTCTTCTTCCTAATGGGTGACGGACGAGCTTTTGCCATGGCCAGGGACACTCTTGCCAATCCATTTGACAGCTCTTGGCGCGTGTAGACCACCGCCGCATACGCCGAGTCGGACGCATCCGTGAATATGTGCAGTGACAACGGCTCATCTGATGACGGATCCTTGAAACAGCGTGGAATGGTGATCTTGGCCAACTCTGGGAGCTCGGCAAACCAGCGCTGCCACTTTGCTGTCAACTCATCTTCCATGTGCTCATCCCAGCCTGTGTCCCGGATGCAGGCCTCTTGGAACAGTACACGAGCCCGTACCGTAAAAGGAGCCAGCTGCCCACGAGGATCGAAGAGCCGGCACATCTGCGACAACACACCGCGACGCGTGAACTCAAACTCCTTGGGTTCAGCATAGTGGAAGGTGAAGCAATCCGTCTGGCACGACCATGACACGCCGAGAGTCTTCTGGGTTAGCTCCGCTCCTGCCTCACGATCGGTGATGGCAAGTTCGGTGTTTGCAGCTCGGTCGGCTTCAGGAACAGTTTGGATGACGGCTGACGAGCTGCTGTTCCACTTCCGAATGTGGAATCCTCCTTGATGCAGAAGCGCCTGCATCTCAGCTCGCAACTGAATCGCCTTTTCGTCAGACTTGCAGGACTTCAAGAGGTCGTCGACATAGAAGTTGTCTGCCACACTTCTCACGGCTTCCTTGGACGTTGTGTCAGCAAACCTATTCGCTGTTTCAAGCAGTGCGCGTCCTGCCAGGTATGGCGAGGCTTTGATGCCGAATACGAGCCTCAGGAACTCGAACGCTACGAGGTTGCCGTCCTTCTCCCACAGAAATCGATGATAGCACCTGTCTTCAGGTCTCAGCCTGACCTGCAAGAACATTTCCGAGATATCTGCCGCAAGAGCCACGGCATCCTTGCAGAACCGGAGCAGAACATGGACCATGTTATTCTGCAACTTCGGCCCAGCGTACATCAGCTCGTTGATGCTGGGATGGATCCCGTTTCTAGCCGCTCCGTCGAAGACGATTCGCACTTTGGTAGTTGCCTTGTCTTCTCTAACAACGGCGAAGTGCGGAAGGTAGTTCTGGTTGGCGCTGACAGACGGCACGTCTTCCAGAAGTCTGATGTAGCCTTTGCTAAGATAATCCTCCAAGACTGCCGCATACCGTAGCTTGACGTCTGGCTTCCTCTCCAGCATCCGCATGAGGCTGGTCAGCCGGCCATTTGCCAGTTCGAAATTGCTCCGAACCTCTGGTCCAGGTCCACCGCTGTGCCACGGGATGCCGATCTGGAAACGCTCACCGTCATGGCTCAATGTTGCCGCTGTGAGGTCGTCCGCTGCCTTCTCGTCAGGAGTCATTGCGGGCGTATGCGGATGTGGCTCCATTCCCACAGCCTCCAGACTCCAGAACTTCTTCACTAGCTCATCCAGCTCCTCCTCAGCTCCGGAGCTTTGAGAGACGCCGAGTAGAGTAGTGCTGCCACTGCTAGACTTGTTGACAGCATTTGGGCCAAACAGTACCCAACCGAGGCGCGTCTTCCGGGCTGTCGGGCCTCCCTCCGTGGGGCACGCACGCTCCTCAAGAGACGCATGCATCTCTGCCGCGTCTAATCCGATCAACAAGTCGACGGCAGTGCTGGGATCCACCATCGGTGGCAAGCTCTGCAGGTGGCTCCAGCTCGCCTTCTGCTGCTCCCACTCGACGGGTGGCACGGCTGCAGTGATTGTGGGTAGCACCCATGCCTCCAGCTTGCCTTCGTAGGAACCGTCCAGGCTGGCGATAACAAGGCTGGCCTTTTCCGTTTCCCCGACGATAGAGCTGCCTCCGAGCACCGTCGTCTCCATGCGACACTTCTCTGTCGTGATGCCGAGACTTCGAACAAGACCCCCAGTGACATAGCTGGCTGACGAACCCGAGTCCAACAGTGCTGTGGCTTGTGCTGCCGTACTGTTTCCGTGGACTGTCGTCTGAATGGTCATGAAGGCTATGGTGTGGTCGGCACTGGTTGTACAGGCACTGCTGCAGGAGTCTTTCTGCGTCTTCTCATCAGGTTGGCTGGCCTTCTTCTGCTTGTCGTAGTGCAGCAGACTGTGATGGCCACCTGGGCACTTCTTGCATCCGGCGCTCTTGCACTCCTTCGCAAAATGACCAGGCTGCAGGCATCGCAAACATAGCCCCACCAGCTTCGCCAGGTCCCATCTCTTCTGGACGCCAAGGGTCAGGAAGTTGGAGCAATCTGCAAGAGCATGGCTGCCTCGACACTTCGGGCACGTCCTCCTGTCAGAAGCTGCGGTTCTGGGCTGAGCATAGGCAGCTCTTGATGGTTCAGGCTCCGTCGGCTCGGCTGCCTGACTGGCGTTCGACACCAAGACCCTGTGCTTGCGCTGCTCTCTTTGAGCTGGCTGCTGATCACCGCCAGTTGAGAGGCGTGCATCAACGTGCCTCGACTGATTCACCCTTCTCATCAGCCATTGTGACAACTCCTGGGCATTGCTCCTGTTGTCGTCATGGCAATCCATGTAGCGTGACAGCATGCCACGTGGCAACTTCTGTGTGACCGCTATATACAGCTCCCTGCCTGGCTGCATTCCAGCAGTTGACATGTTCACAATGACATTGCGGAGCTTGACAGCGAGCTTTTGCAGCGACTCAGTGTCTTTCTCCATGACAATTCTGGGCAGACTCATGAGTTCCGTCTGCTGACGTTCTAGCTCGCGCTCACTGCTTCCGTACCAAGCTTCCAACTCCTCCAAGGCCGCTCTATATGCACCAGGCCCATCCAGCACCTCGCATATCAGTTCCTCGGCCTTGCCACCATCTAGCGCCTCTCGTAAGCGAGCCATCTTATAATCCTCGGACACGGAGTAGTCATCATCCACCAGTCTCATAAATCTCTGGCGCCATCTTACGTAGCTCCTCTGCATGCCATCAAGTCTGGGCAACTCCAGAGGCTTGACCTGATGTTGATTTATTCCTGCTGGTACTGGTACCTGCACTCTTGTGGTCAGCTCCGTGCTCTTGTCTGCACTCCGACTTGCACTGGTCTCAGCTGGATCACGAACATGTTCCCTGTCCCCCTTGTGCAACACAGCGGAACTCGGATCTTGAGCACACTGCAGTGACTGCACACGGCTTTCAACAACTACTTTTTTCTCGTCGCTTTTCACTTCATCAGCTCCGTTGGCTGCATGTTCTTCAACGACAAGCACTTCTTCCTCTACGTGCTGCTCTACTAGCACATCACTCCCCTGTAGTTCAACAGCTGCCATAGCTGCACTATCCAGCGGAGCTTGAGGTTGCTTGGGAAGCCCGGTGACACATGTTTTGAATGTCAATCCCGAACTTTCATCGTCTGGTGAGCTCGACTGCGATGTCGATGAGAGAGAGACCTGCGCAGCCTCCATTTCCAGACGAAATATCCTTCTCTCTTGCTCCATTTTTGCTCCAAGAAGGCTCGCTCCATGCGAGCCATTCTCAGCTCTGCCTGTACAACACTTGCTCGTCGCAACGACGACGCAGACGAGCTGATACTACTGCCAACAACACTGGCTCTGGTTGACACACTGCTTTCAGACACGGAGTCCACGTCCGACAGGCTTCCTGGGCTCAGACGACTTGCGGGTTCATTTCCCTCGTCCTGAAACCGTACAGGCAAGACACCTTGGTTGGATCGCGAACTTCTTCTTGGCGCAGCCATGTCAATCCGGCTCGAAGGACCATATGTTACTGAACAAATCAATGACTTCTCCAATCAGACTGTATTCAATATTCCATCTTCGGACAACAAGCACTAGCTCAAAAACACCAGCTTAGAGTTCAACACAACCGTTTCCAAACTCCTCTGAAAAACATCGTAAACACATCTGACCCAAAACAAAAAATGCAAATCACGAATATAGAACCAAAAGAACACCGTACGCACAGGTACGGGAGCACGCAGCTAGAACGATGATACATGTGTAGTGATCAGCCAACAACGACCGCAAGTGCATTCATGAAACAGACAACTAGCCTAGCGGCAGACGCGCACTCATGCTTATGATACAAAGAACCAGCCACTGAGACAGTGCACAAAATAGCAACAAAGAGAGCAAAACGCTGTAGCAAAATGCAACAAATAAGTAAACTACAAATGCACTACTGCACTAATACAAGGCAGAAACATGATGCACAAATTCGAACACACTAAATCGAACAGTACTTGGTTTTGATACACGTACATGTAGCTGTGATACCGCTTAGCACAGCCCCATATCAAACTACAATGAAAGCTGACAATCATGTTGGAACGAATCAGACAACATCGAGTCCTCTTGTTCTTGAACTATGCGAGCTAGAACGTGTCCCCACACTGGGAAAAATGATGGTATTTTCAAACATATCACGTGCTTGTTGCCATCCGACGGCCAATCAGCATCGACTTGTACCAGGGCAGAAATTGTGTGTATTGCCTGGACTACGGCATGGCAATGCCCTAGCATGCTACGGAGTACGGTGACATCCAATGCCCTGCATGCATGCTAATTGCTATGCAAATGCCAGGCTATGGTGCCATCTATCAGCGTAGCTTGGCAAGGGTCTGTGGCACTGGCAGTTTTTCGTTGTCAGCTCAGTTCGCATGTACATTCGACTGTGAACTGACGTTACTTGCTCTGGTAAGCGAAATAAAAGAGCATGCACCTATCTATCTGCTCTGAACCTAGCAAGCCAAAATAAGTAAAGTGGCAATCACCGGGGTCAGTTTTCCATGTTCGGATTCCAGCTGTTCCAGCTCCGTGCGCTCTCGGGCAAGCCCTCGAGCGCACGGCTGAAGTTTCGTTCTGAAGTTTCAGCTCACGAAGTATCAGCTCCGTATGCTCTCGGGCAAACTCACAGTCACAAGCTGAAGTTTCGTTCTGAGCTCCGTACGCTCAAGGGCTTGGGAGCTCCAACTCACAAGCTGAAGTTCCAGCTCCGTTTCATCTCGAGCAAGGTGAAGTTTCGTTCTGAAGTAACCGTTCGTTTCATCTCGAGCAAGGTGAAGTTTCAGCTCTAGAGGAGTCTCGCTTTTATACCTTCATGCCCCCGTGCTCATTTTCAGCTCCGGACGTTATCAGGACGTGCTGATCGGTGATTGGTGTTTGCTTGTTGATGTATGCGGTATGTTTGAAACACAATCAAGCATGGTAGGAAGGTCTTGATGGAAAATGCGTACCCTCGTGCGTAGCCCTCGGGCAAGCCCTCGGGCATACGCACTCGGGCACTCCATGCCCTTGTGTGTACGCTCTCGGGCAAGCCCTCGAGCGTACACACGCGGGCATGAATTTTCCACCAAGCCCTTCCTTCCATGCTTGATTCTATACTTACGGTGCGCACAAACAAGTGAAGCACTGTGCCACAGGGCGTTCCTTACAGTTGGGTTGCTGCTGGTTCTTCGCTAGGTGTTCAGCCACCGCTAATATTATCTTCTTTGAGACTGTCACCCGCTTCTTACCTCCGACTTGCTCCTTCATCAGTCTGGAAATGGCTGGCTCACCACTTCGTTTGTAGGACAAGACAAAGTGCTTCATCACCAACCCACTGGCAGCTGCCCGAACTGCAACTGATTTAGAGAAGCACGTTGCTTGGACCAACGGTTGAAGGGTGGCCAGCCGCTTTTGCTGATGTTCTGCAAACTCCATCGCCGAACATGCTGATGCAAAAGTGACAGAGTTCTACAGGATACTGGCATCAGGGCGAGCTTCGACAATTTCAGCTAGGGCCGCAACATCCGCAACAGCATCATGAGCAGCGAACTCATTCCCAACGATGAACTATAAATCAATCTGAGGCTGTAGCTTGGGAGCTCCGGTATCGCGGTTTAGGGATCAGAGTGTTCACCCAGCACAAAAATGCACACCATCGACACACACATCCGTGCACACACACACACACACACACACACACACACACACACACACACACACACACACACACACACACACACACACACACACACACACACACACACACACACACACACACACACACACACACACACACACACACACACACACACACACACACACACACACACACACACACACACACACACACACACACACACACACACACACACACACACACACACACACACACACACACACACACACACACACACACACACACACACACACACACACACACACACACACACACACACACACACACACACACACACACACACACACACACACACACACACACACACACACACACACACACACACACACACACACACACACACACACACACACACACACACACACACACACACACACACACACACACACACACACACACACACACACACACACACACACACACACACACACACACACACACACACACACACACACACACACACACACACACACACACACACACACACACACACACACACACACACACACACACACACACACACACACACACACACACACACACACACACACACACACACACACACACACACACACACACACACACACACACACACACACACACACACACACACACACACACACACACACACACACACACACACACACACACACACACACACACACACACACACACACACACACACACACACACACACACACACACACACACACACACACACACACACACACACACACACACACACACACACACACACACACACACACACACACATATGCATGCTCTCCCACGCAATAGAACACACGCGCGCGCGTACACACACATACATTCACGCACGTGTGCGTACCCACCCACATGCATGTGCACACTCATGTGCATGAGTGGAGATGCCCGCATACACATGTCACACCAACATGCCCTGGGAGCGGTCATGCACGTGTGTATAGTATGTGTGCGAGGGCACGTCCACATGAGCGCATATGCATGTGCATGCTCATACATGCGTATGGTGCACACATGCACAAACATGCAGGTCTATGCAAACATACACACACACTCGCGGCCGCCGCGCATACAGTGTGCTCATACATTTCCATAGCCATACGGCCCATAGGGTGGCAATGACTCGCAAATATCATGAATAAATCTTATGAGATTGAAAAACGCACTTACCCAAAGCAGCTTTGGTGTTGCTTGTGGAAGCACGGGGGCCAGGGTGTTGAGCAGTTACAGGGCTATATGTAATGTATCTATAAAATTCTCCATCCCACACTGCTGACACGGAATGACAAGTACGCTGCCCAGGTCGTACCTCTTCTCTTCAACGCAATCAATGAGCGCCAGAGGTTTGCCACATCCAGGATTCTGGCACGCAGACAATCCCACAGCCAGATACCTGAGATAAACGATTCGTCGACCGTGAAGAGGGGCACTGAACGACCTCTTCGCGGGAGTCGAATCCAGTGGCGTTAGTGGTGGAGATCGCCCTTTCCGTTTTTCAGGAACTCGATCGATCGTTTGAGTTTGGGAAGCGTCCCGTCCTCGGCTTCTTGCATCGTCCAGTACGCAGAATGAGAGGCCGCGTCGTGGGTGACGGATTACTCTCCCGCGTCTTCATCTCCACGACACGTCGGCAGGAGAACCGAGCTATCCAAAAACCGCCAATGTCAAAACAAATCCGCAAGTCCACTAGTGGCTGAGCTTCTTCCTCAAATCTTGTCTCGACTCGAGCACGCGCTGCGAAGTCATGGTCAAATTGCTTATTTTTTTACTCGATTGTGCATGATCGCGTCCCATTTTTCCACTCCGAAAGGCATTATTTTTCAGAAAAAAATTCGGAAATCCAACATGGCGCTAACCGTCGCGAACCTACTTCACACGCGCTCCAGCGGCTTCCAAAGAGCCCCCAGATCCCACGCTATTCATTGATGCATGTCAAGTAACACGTACATGCACGCTGTGATGGCATGTAACATGCGTAGATCTACGCCGGAACTCACCTGAACTCGCCAGCCAACCAGCCATATGCGGCTGCAGCACACATCGGAGCTTGAACCCGTAATAACGCATACACCATACTTCGCGCTGGCCGCATTGCTACTTCATATTTGCTTTGCTTGGGTAGTGAGAAGAACACCGGTTTGTTCCTTTCTCACTCCCTTTCTCTCTCTTTCACCATGCCACGAGGCTCTGTACGAGGAAGCAGACGTGGACGCGGACGTGGGTATGCCGTCGAGGTTACCCGTCGCCGCTCGGGTAGGGCTTCGACCTCGCCATACGCGCGGACTGACGGCATGCGCGCCTTCGCGCCTGATGCCTCCGACACACCGTCAGCAGCTAGCTCAGACTTCTGACCCCGCTCCAGGCACCGACGCTTCTATGCAGGACGAGCCCTCATTGCTCTCCCCGGACATCATTTCCTCAGCCGTTATGAAGATGAACGCCCTCCACCCTCTCCTCGAACGCGTGGAACGCCTGGAGAACAGACAGTGCTGAGTCTGATCTGGAAGCCGAT